ACATTTCTAAATGCTAGTATTATAATTCACTTAGACATGAATGAATGCATCAATTAACAAATTGTCCATTAAAAAATGCTCAAGTATTATAAAATTAACAAATGTGTCAGACCAATATAACTTAGCTGGTTTCTGATGGTTTTAGACTAATAGAAATTTATATGCAGTTGGACCTCCCTTATCCAGTCTCCTTTATCCAGATCACTTGAGAATTTGCCTATTTTACTCAAATAATTAGCGGAACCAACAAAGATTTCAAGCATACTCGTAATATCGCAAACTATTTGGGTTACTTATATACATTATTCCCAACATTGTTATTACACATTCAATTCAATTTTTCATGATCAGAAACATGCATTCATTCAAACTCGGCAACTGCATGTTTTGAATATAGGATTCCCTTATGCATGTTAGTGCTGATCCCAAGTGTGGGGATAAAGGAGGCCCAACTGTATTCAATTCTACCAAAGTTTAAGATGCCAGTATTCATTGTTTTTTAACAGTGCTCATGGCTTTATATCTTTTTTTCTTTATTAAAGGTTCAGATGTACATAGCATCACAAGTGCAGACACTATCAAGGTGGATACCAGCTCCTCTTCCCTGAGTAGCTCAGAATCTGATTCAAGTTTTTGCTCCAGTAGAAAGAGGCCACGATTAAATGCCCTCAGTGAATCAGGTGCAATCACTGACAACTCTTGTGAGGTAAGGTTAAGAAAAAATTGTTTGCTTCATTTCAATCTCAGCTATCATAATCAACATAATATAAGGGACTCATCACCTATACGGATTTCATATTATTTAAAATTGAAAATGATATTGGGAGAAAAAAAATACATCTAGTGTAGTTAGAACTAACATTGTAAATTAATATTTCCTGTAGTAAGGTTTTTGTAATGGTATAGGTTAACATTAGGCAACTAATTTGATTTCTTTTTTGGTACATCTAAGCTGACGACTCCTGTAAGATATTGGCCATCTTTTTTGCTTCGTCATCTGTCATAAGTTTTCCATAAACTTTTACAGTTTCATTTTCTTCCAATGGGTGGTATGATTTCAAACAAATGATATTATGTCTAGAGGTTTAAATTGAATTGCCAAATTTTATGAAATGTTTTAGAAATGGGAAAGAGAAATGAGGTAAATAATCATCGAATAATACATCTCATGATCTGGTTCCATATAGACCTCTGAGGGTATCAAGGAAAAGGACTAATATCAAAATTAAAAAGTTGAAGATGAGATGCATCGATTGTTACATAACCTTTATTGTAGTGTTCATGATGATCCCAAACATAGAATAGTTTCCTGCTGTATTGTTTGTGGATATGAAAGTAATGAACACTGTTCAGGGCACTTTAGACGGTCTCCCCATGGCATTGGGCTTGCATGTCTATATTAAGTAGAAGGAACTCGCATTACAATAAACACAAATTTACCTGTAGCCTCATGTGTCCCCTCGTGTGTGTGTATGTGCGTGTGTGCATATGTGTGTTTGGGGTGTTTGTGGGAGTGTGTATTTAACAATATTTAAACTATTTCAAGCTCTATAAATAAATATATTATTATTTAGAATTTATGATTATTGGCCATATATCAATTTTAATATCATAATGTACCTATATAAATTCATAGTCATTCATAAAATTTCGTGCCCTTAGAAAGGTCAGTATGAATTAAAGTGCCTGAAAGTGCATTATAAACTCAATATGTTTATTTATGACTTAATGGGATGATTTACCTGTTTGCAGTTTGTACAAGAAATTTTGCGGCACAGAGGTGATGCCATTCTCCGAGAGTATGAATTGACTGGAGCACTTCAAGATAAAACTAGACGGCAGATGATTAACCTTTTGGTAGCCCACATGCAAGAACACTATGGGTAAGTGCCAGCAAATTTTCTTTTATGATTGTGTAAATGCACATAATAATTATCAGGTACTACCAATTATGTGAAAAGAAACTGAGGTAACATGGTCAACTTTAAAGGAATTTGTTGTCTCTTCAAAATCATTTTTCAAAATATTCATTTTTTATGCCTCCGCCACCGTCAGGTGGTGCCGGAGGCATTATGTTTTCGGGGTTGTCCGTCCGTCCTTCCGTCCGTGCGTCCGTGTGTCCGTCCGTGCGTCCGTCCGTCGGAAACTTGTTACCACGATAACTTCAGAACTACTGGACGGATTTTTACCAAACTTGACACAAGTATTTATATACATGTGAGGATGAACCATAGAGATATATACTTAATAAGGCTAGAGTGCGGACTCGTCATACGCGCCCGTTCAAAGCTCTGTGCGCGCATGGAGCGCGGTCCGCCATTACTAAGGAGGGCACAACTTCGAGAAATACCCGGATGTTCCCTTCGAAACTGTGCTACTGATAAGCAATGTGAAGCTTCATTTTTCGAGTTGATTTATCGGTTTTCGAGTATGAAACGTTATAATTGTGGTATTTTGCATAATGCATGAACCCTACTCATGCCTCAGTCATGGTATCTGGTGTAGGTCAAGATTAATTACGGGTGTTATGGTGAGGTAAAAGGGACACAAAAAGCTATTTATATTTCAGTATATCTTCAATTTTTCTTCCTCTTTGTCAATATAAAACTGCGATATTATGACATCAAATATTACTTGGCTTTCAACCAATCAGAATCAAGCATTTGGGACTTGTATTTGATATTTATGTCATGATATTAACCAAAGTTTTATGCTACAGGGCCAATGCTGGGGGTCAATGTCTTTCTAATTCAGTTATTATGAGAGCCAGGGTTTATTGATTTAAAACGCTTTAAAGGTTATATATTCATTTTATGTTTATGGCTATTATAAACAGATTGATACTTATAGATTTGGGATAGAGATGGGTATAGCTAGACACATAAATAGATGGATAGATAGATATAACATAGAAGGATAGGTAGATAATGGAAATGCAGATATAGGACGATACTGAAGATAGGAAGAGGGGAAAGGAAAGAATTATACACATTTATTTAAAAAAAATTATGTTATTTACTCATCCAATCATTCATCCATCCATCCAAACATTCTTTTTCTTCTTCTCTCACTCATTTTATATCAAATTCACACCTTATGTCTTTCACCTAATCTCTATAAAATTTCTATATGTCTGAAAGAATAATTCAATTTTTTACAGTTCACTATAAATACATATGAATATTCTTTAAAAACAGCTGATCATTGATGTAATAATTATTTATTCACATCACCTTTTTTCTCCATAAATAATATTCTCCTTGATACAGTGTATTTCTTATTTTCTTCATCAACCAGTTTTAGAGAATAAACTTATAATTCAATTTGAAGGAAAAAAATGAATAAATGAACCTTTTATTACCACACGGCACACGTGTGTTGATATTCTACAGCATAGGCATTTAAGTTTTGACATTTTATTATACTGCAATAATACAACACAATTGAAAGGACAGACATTGCAAAAACAACACCTCAGATTTTAGCCCCAAATTTACTCTCACGGATCATAGGCAACACAACCACGACAAATTGATTCGCCACCAAAGACAAGCATTACACATCCCAAAACCGCCACAATAACTCCCAAAACATAAATGTCAGGAGGCCAATGTCTATGTGTCAAGATGTCAGCGATAACGAACACTTTATTAACTAGTCTTGGCTCCAAGCGCACGCAGGCGCGTTACATTTACTAATAATACAAAGACATTTCATCGAGTAATAAATGCAAACCAGAAAAAGTAATTGAGCATATAAGTCACCTGTATTGCTATGAAGAACTATAATTGAAGAGACTTACATCTCAGGATACTGCACTACACTATTCAGTGAAACCTCATAGTAACATGGTCTTTTGACATCATTATTCATCAGGTATAATAATAAATTTGAAACTGATTACCCTCAAATGTACACAGTAGATACAACAAGCCAAAGAGTGCACAATCTTATGGGTTTACATCTAGTGACATTATTCCATATAATTGTTCTGTTATCAAATCTCTTCAAAAGCAGTTTTCCATTTTGGAACAAAATTCAAACCTATGTACAAAACGATCTATGGGTGTGTATATGGTGTGCAACTGTGCATTACACAAGCTTTTCAATTGCAACACATCTGTGAATTCTTCTCGTTTATTGAAAATGGGCTCACTTGATGTGAATTTCTTGCTTTTCATCTTTAATGATGTAAATCACTTGGTTGAGAGCAATCCAGACAATGTTATAAAAAAGGTCTACATGTTTATCTCAGGTTATCCATACTGTACCTGCAGAATCAAAGCACATGTAGAGTGCAAATAATTTGCAAAAATTATAGCAACTGAATCAGATACAGCAGGTACAATTATGAAGCTTATAGAGTAAATATTCAAATACAGTGTACCTCACAACAACTCAAAATTCAAGTACATTTTGTTTAACCCCTAATTTAATCAACTCTTCTAAGTTCCACTTTAGTTTGCCTTCGTGTAAAGTTAACAAACAGAAAATTATGGTTAGGTTGTGCAACTGTCACAATGTGTCCCAAGAATTTTATTTCATTACACAGAACAAAAGTCTCAGATTGTTCTGTTTTTTTAAAAGATTATTGAAAGCTCTCTCCAGTTTTAAACGGCTTCACAGTCAATCATCCAGTGGATAAGCTATGCAGACAAGAGGCAAAATATAAAAGACTGATCTGTCTTTGTAGTTTGTACGAATGAAGTTCTATGTTTTGGTTTTTTTTCCTGAAAATGCGTTCTCTCCAAAGTTGTGTTGAAGTAGGTCAAGCTGATCCTGGCTAATGAGCTTGCTTTCGTGGACTTCCTGCAAGAGAGTCCTGGTTTTTCCATCTCTCCTGTTTACCTTGTTTCACCACTTGAAGCTGTTTCTTGGCATCCTGCACTTGCTGTCTGGTTATATTCAGTTTCTAATCAAAATCAACTCAGACAGAAAAAGAATAGTCATGTTCTTTTGTAATGTCATAGGGTTTCTTTGGAGGCACGGTAACACTTTCGGATGTTGTACATGGTTTTGCTGGGAGTCTTGAGCCATGGGTCTGTTTATAGGGAGGATGTCCAGGAAAGACAGTAGGCACAGCTCTAGGAATGAGATGTGGTGTGTAACATCCTTTCCTCTCTTGAGTGTATTCCTGCATTACAATAAAAGCAAATGGAAACAATAATGAGTTTTTTCTCATAACATGACAATTGTTCTACTATTCATGCTATTTCATGTGATTTTTAAGACTGAAACTGAAAGCAGCTTCCAGCCAAATAAATAAAATAATAATAATGTCAGCAAGTCATAAGCAAATTTATTAGAAATAGTGTAGTGTGCGGTGGGATTTTTAGGCTTGCCTAGCCTAGTTGGATAACTCCTGTGATGTGAAATATGGCAGGCTAGCCTGGCTTAGACCAAAAGCTTCAGTCTCTCTATATCGTCGGTTGTTCTACTGAGACTGCGTCTGGCTCCACTAGACCTCTGATTATATTATGGGGAATGTCAACAAATGTCAGTTTTATTAAAGAAATGACCCATATCAGACGGTTATTTCTGTCTAACCTGGCTTTGCTGTTCAGGCTTTAGAAATTAGAGACTAGAGTTTAGATCTAGAGTCTAGAGTCTAGATTTATCATCTAGCTCTAGTCTAGTCTAGTTAAAATATAAAGAAGCTGACATTTGATTTTTAATTTATCTTGAAATTAGATAAGATCAAATTAATTATATCATTTTATTCTAGACTTTTCTTTAATAGAATCAAGCTCATGGAGTTATATTTCCGAGTTGGACTCTCTGACTCTTGGAGTTGCGAGCGACTCCAGCGCAGCAGAATTTTCCCATCACCATCCCCAGAACCTTAACCCATGCCTGCCCCAGCCCGGCGGGCGTGGACTGGCGCGCTCCGCTGCTGCAGGAGCTGCCGTGGCTTGTCATGAGACAACCCGGGTACAGACTACAGTCACTGCATTATCTGCATAAACTACATTTTTAGCTCTAAAATCTCCTTATTAATCAACATAACATTAAGAAGAACTTACTTGTGAAATATTATGCAGTTCCCTTTCTTTCTTCGGTTCGAACATCCAAATGCAACGCACGAACCTGGCTTCATCAATTTTTCCACGTATGTTGTGCACAGTATCTAGTTGGGTCGTCCGTTTTTCTGCCCTCCTTAGTAATGGCGGCCACCGCTCCAGCTCGGAGCAGCAATTTGAGCGAGTACGCCCTCTAGTGTTTAGTAGTATATATCTCTATGGGATGAACTGATTAGATTTGGGGTTTAGGGGGTCAAAGGGCAAAGGTCACAGGGCCAAACAAAAATTGTAAAAAATTACCCGAAAAAAGCTCGATATTGCTATAACTTCAGACAAATTGAACTAATTTCTTTCAAACCTAGCTCAATTATGTATTAGCATGGGAGGAAGAAGATTTTGGGTTCACGGGGTCAAAGTTCATAGTGCCCAAAATTTGTAAAATCACCCAAAATGTTTCGGATTTCCAATGGCATGGAACAAGCAATAATATCTTTCTGATCGCATGATGGCAGAGGCTTAAATTTTGACCGTGCGTGGTCGAAGATTCATCTAGTTTTAAATGTGATTTGCACATGATGGTTATCAGGTATTACCAGTCTTGTGAGTGACATTTTTGGGTCATTACGTTAAAATAGATTAATGCCGTAGATGTTAGCGGCCTCATCGTCATGAGGCCTCACTTTATAAATGTATTATGAACTAACCATGTGATATTTTGAGATTTTAAAGTAATAAAAAAATACTAAACTATAGCAAATTATATGATGCAGACGAGACCACTAGGGGTATGCTACTTGTTATCAACATACTAAGTTCTGTTTTAATAGAGCCAGTCATGAGTCCATATGACTGTAATTCTCATACAGGAGATGTGCTTTCTTATTTCACAGCAAACATCCAAAAGCAGCTATGAAAACCAAATATGCCATGGGGATAGTGAATCTGTTTCCAAGACTCAAGGATCCGTTTACTAGCACAGGTCATGTAAGTATTATAATCTGGGCCCATATTCAAATAAATACTTTGACTAAGTAAGTTTTTTTACTAAGTATTTTGGCTAAGGTATTTACTTATTTTGTATTCAATTCAGTTCTTAGCATTTTACTTTAGTAAGTCAAAATTTAAGTAAAATACTTATTGAGAGGCATTGTGACATCACGATTTTGTGACCAAATGATGCGCAATCAACACATTGCACCAAAAATGCGCTACTTCATAATTCTCCGCAGCTGAGAGTGACTGCGCACATACATGTAAGCCTTCATCTACCAGTTAAATTTGTAAATGCTTTGGCTTAAGTCTCCTCTAGAGGTGTCTTAAATTTAAAGTAAAATACTTAGCCAAATTTATGAATTGAATACCAAAATCTGCAAAGTATTTTATCCGAGCAAAAATCTAAGAAAAAATATTTATTTTTCTGACTGAAGTATTTAATTGAATATGGGCCCTGCATGGTCCTCTCTGATAAGAAGGTATTGCATTCCATTAATCAAAAGAAAACTTATGATACTCTGATAAGATAAAAATACCCTCAAAATCTCTCTAAATTATATTCTGAGAAGAATTTTTTTTTTTAAATATTATCTTGTGTAGGTCACACTCCACCATCTTTGGCACAATATCCAATAAGAAATGTATGATACCATTCTACTCTCCTTCACAACCACTCAAAACTCTTTTTTTCTTGAAGTGGGGCAGAGTGATGGCTGCTTCCTTGTATCAAAGTCAAGATGCTTGCATTATATGACACTAATGCTACTTTGCTAAAATTTCTTTGAAAACTACAATTTCTCATCACATCATTTTGTGCATCATTTCAAGGTTAATATTATCAACAAAAAGCTTATACATACATTTTCAACCACGCGGTCAAAGATTCATCTCGTTCTTTCACTTTAGGAAGCTTATTTTGATGCAAGAAGTAACACGGGATTCCTGGCTGCTAGAATAAAAAATGTTAACCGCACAACAGAGGAGAAGACATCCAACCCATTACCCAAGCCATCAAGCAGAGATGGTGGTCCTGGGAAGGTCCGAGAAGGTGACCAAGAATCTGCTCCAGGCTGCACCTATGATGAAGACCTCAACTGGTTACGACACTGTCCAACATTAGAACGTGATTCTACCCTGGTTGTTGAAAAGATGAAATCCACTTTTCCTGTTAGACAGCATATGGTCAGGGACGGACGCTCCGCATCGGATATTTTGGAACAGTTTCCTTTTGAAACTGTTCCAGGTTTGGTAAGTGTTACAAAAAAATTTACTCCTAATTCTTGATTTAGCCTCTCAGGCCTAAGGCAACAAAATTATGTGTATGGGAATTAAAGCATCAGAATTATTACTTGGCACTGAGGCATCAAATTCATATTTCTCTGTTTTATTATATATGTTTGAGATTTTGAAAATATCAGTCCGAAGATTCTGCCAGTTTTATCCTTCAATCTGTATCTGTATTTACCGCATGTGACTGTCTGTTGGTGAACAATCACCATTACTGGTTGTCATGTACCTTTGGACAGTGAGCATCAACATGAGTGATATCTAGCAAATCTAATCTATTTCAAAGGTCCAGCAAGTTTCATTCATGTATGGATTTTGTGTAGAGAGACCTTCAAAAGTACTTCTTAGTGGTTGCTATTCAGATAAATATTTGAAGAATCCCCTTTTCCTGGATCTGGGGTGTGTATATATGGGGGTCTGAGCTTTGACGGTACCTTATTATATTGCTGATTTAGTCTAACTGGGGTATCTGTACTGTAAAATTATGCATAGTTTATTTTTTCTCTCTTTTCCCCGTTTTCCTTTTACATGTATTCTTGCAGATTGAGGTAGATTTTCGGAAACTTTTTCCTGAAAATCACTCGCGTTTCCTGACCAAATGGCCCGAGTTGAAGCCCAAGGTTGTTACACTTGCAAGACAACTTCTGAAGCAGAAAGGAAACTTGACAGTGATGGAGCTTCTGTCATCTTATGACAGTTCTGATCAAAATAAAGAAGGTATTTTTGCACATTCCCTTGAATGCACCCTCCGATGTCATAAAGGGTGGAATTCTTGATGGTGGTTTATTTGAGACCATGGATAAACCATTGATAGGTTAGTTTAAATTTGAGCATATATGTGCTTCACACAAGCATGTTCATTGGACAAGTTTTAGAATACATGCAAATCTAATCCAATCCATGGTTTTGAACCAAGTTTAGACCTTGGTCTTAAACCACCATTGAGAATTCCACCAAAGAGCTTGCAGTCTCATTAAAAATGTATATTAAGGGACAAGTATGCTGAAATCACAAAAAATGACCCATCCCAATTAAAACAATTCCCCCCCCCCCCCCTTTTTTTTGTCAACTCCTCCAACAAATTATATTTATCTGGAAGGCTGGGATACAGTAGGGTTATTGGGCATCTCAAATAATGTGGACTCTTGTTGCAATGAGAATTACAAAAAATTACATTACATGCCCACTTGGCAAAGTTATTTGTAGTTGGAACATGCTCTCCATAATTCTTTTATTATATTAATTATATAATTATGAAGAAGAAATTTATATAATTATGAAGAAAAAAGTTTGTTGCATGGCCCATTGTGGAATCTTTATAAGGATTATCACATTGCCAATCATTACTTTTGAAATAGAATGAGCTTCTGTTTTGAAACAAAGCATCATGTTTATATGTTCACTTTGTTATTTTTCTTCCTCAGATATGATATGCATGGCTTATTATCTTATAATATGAACTTGAATCGACCCCACAGGACCCTGCATTTACATATTAGCAGCTTGCTTGTGTTTACTCTGTCTTTATTTGAAGATAAATGCTTTAGAATTCAGAAAATCATGATATTTTTGTTTTTCTTCATTAGTTAACTTTGAAAAATATGGTGGCCCATAGGGGACATATTTGATAAATTGTTAATTGCAACATTTGATTCCAGTATTGATGCAATTTTTGTGATTTAATCATGAAAAGGATGTCAAATTGGGTAGAAGCATGTTAAATTCAGTAGAACAAGAAAAAAATTGTAAAAAAAAAAACATGAACTTATGCTACTAAAGAGTTTGTTATATATGTGTCAACAGAGAACAATCTAGGTTAGGTGCTTTGCCATGAATGTTGCCTTCTCCCATGCATAAATATCCCGTTTATTATTTTCCTATTGATTTCTTTTTTCCCATCCCCCTTTGTATAAATTCTCATAAGAAAGAAGAAGAAGGCGTTGCTATAAGTGTCAGTAAAATTTCTCCAAGGGTGCCAAGCTGGCATCAATTGGATTTTTGGTTTAGTACCCCTAAACTGCATTAACAGCCACTTGCATGCTTTGGCTATAATATTGATAAGTCCTCGACTATATACTTATTTCTTATAATAGTTTCTTGTTACAGGCTATTTTGATTCAAATTTTAGCAGGTCAGTTTGTAATTATTTTGGTACATTTAACTTCTATTTTTCACCTTGATCAACATGTAAGCCTGTTTAATAATAACCATTTTCATTTTGTAATGCACAGGATGGAATTCCAGCACATCTGCTATCCTCCTCCTCTTGTGCCTATTGCCTCCTGCAAGCCAAGGGAAGTCCAAAGCTGCGTCAGCAAAAGTGTCCATTTCTTCAGCTCTCTCGAGGGTTATTCAATTTCAGAAGGTATTTAGCTTTTCATTACGAAAGAGAACTGTAAATATTAAGTACCGGTAATACCCTGTCACATAAAACACATTCTTGCTGCATTAAAAAAAAAGTTTCAGAAAGCATCGTGATGTGTGTTCAAAGAGAACAATTATATTGGTTTATGATCTCTTACATGAAGAGGCTTAGACTGATTTGGACAGAGAAGGTGCTCGAGAAATTTAGGCCTATTCAAAAACTTCACCCGCCTTGAAATTGGTCGGAGTAAAATAAACTAGAACAGTAGACATCAAGATTTGCAAACAAATACTAGGAACATGTTGTGTATGAAAACATAGTAACAACTTGTGTGATATATCAGGCATGTTGCCTTTGATTTTCACAGCCCTACATGGAGAATCAATAAATGAAAAGGAATATTTCATGCCACAAATTTGCTGCAAGTTAATAATAGTGCAGAAATTGCAGTATCTTTATTTTTCGTACTCCTTTTGTG